TATGTACACACACACACACACACACACACACACACACACACACACACACACACACACACACACACACACACACACACACACACACACACACAAATATGTTAAAATGTATTTTTTGTTATGAAATGCTAAATGCAGTACTTTTTAGGAAAATGAATGTTGTGGAACAAATTACGCTTTCCACAACAATATACCAAACTAAATTACAACTATTAAAGGGAAAAAAGACGGTTACAAAGAAAAACATTTTAATCTTATGAGTACACAGCTGACAAATGACTATTAGGAATGTTGAAGGTTGTAAAATCAGTGCTGCATGCAAAGCAGACTATCGACGTTTGACCTTGGTTTTTGTTATCACGCAAGCCTGAACCGTGATGAAGATGTGATACGCAATAACTGAAAGACAATATTTGACATCTCTTACGTTGCAAATTACCAAAAGATGAAAACTAGAACGCCTCAAATATAATTTATTATTTCCCTGATGGAAGCAAGTGTGTTGTGTTTCTTGTTATGCATGTATTCATAAGGCTGTGGACGACATGGCCCTAAAATACATGTCCGCTTCTCAACCCGTGAGACCATATCAAAGACACTGAACCCAAATTGGCTCCCTGTGGACCTGGCAGCGCCCTCCGTGGGAGCAGCCTCCCATTGGTGTATGAATGTGTGTGTCAATGGGTGAATGTGAAGTGCTTCAGGAACTAAATGATGGAGATGAAGCGCTATGTAAGTGCAGTTTATTTACCATTTCCGATTTTCATCGACCCCCCCTTTCATTAAGAAGAAAAAACAAATGACAATATTCAAAATTTGAGGGAAACACACAATCCCATTTCAACATTTCAAATGTTCGACACCTGAACATCAATAAATTCATAAAAAGATTCAAACCTCAACCATTTCCAAATGGCTGACAAAACGGTGTCCACCGAGTAAATTAGCTCCTCCCTTTTCTGCGCCATGTCGTCAATGTTAACAGTGGGCGTCAACTAGCCATGGAAGCCACTAATTGAAAAAATAGATTTGTTTTATTTTTACATCATGGAAAAATCAGTGTAACTCTTTAGCCCGAGTTATTTGTATTCATTCATTCATGAATGCATTAAATTCTGCATCTGTATATATGGAGTATGCTTGTGGAGGCTCTCAGTCGTACAGGAAAGTTCCATCGTAGAAAGGGTTCTGTCAGTCGTCATCTGTACCTGTGGGTAAAAAACAAAGTCTCCGTGAAGACTGACACGGAGACTTCAGGGTTGTCTACCGCTGACGAAGCTTCTGTGAGAGAAGCGAAACGTCCTTTTTTGCTTTTTTTTGTTTTTTGTTTTTTTTGTTTTTTACCCACAGGTACAGATGACGACTGACAGAACCCTTTCTACGAAGCAACTACAGGGGGATAAAGTTGATGAGCCATACGATGAAGGTTTGGGAAAGAGTAGTTGAAGCCAGGTTGAGACAGGAAGTGGAGATTTGTGAACAGCAGTATGGTTTCATGCCGAGGAAGAGCACCACAGATGCAATATTTGCCCTGAGGATGCTGCTGGAAAAGTACAGGGAAGGTAGGAAGGAGCTGCACTGTGTATTTGTAGATTTAGAGAAGGCTTATGACAGGGTGCCAAGAGAGGAATTGTGGTTCTGTATGAGGAAGTCAGGGGTTGCAGAGAAGTACGTTAGGTTGGTTCAGGACATGTATGAGAATAGTACAACAGTGGTGAGGTGTGCAGTTGGACGGACAGAAGACTTCAAGGTGGAGGTAGGACTGCATCAAGGATCGGCCCTGAGCCCCTTCTTGTTTGCTATGGTGATGGATAGATTGACAGATGAGGTCAGACAGGAGTCGCCCTGGACCATGATGTTTGCAGATGACATTGTGATCTTTAGTGAGAGTAGACAGCTGCTACAAGAAAACCTAGAAAGATGGAGGTCTGCACTGGAGAGAAGAGGAATGAAGGTCAGTCGTAGTAAGACAGAGTACATGTGCATAAATGAAAGGGAGACCAGTGGAACGGTGAGTTTACAGGGAGCAGAGGTGTCGAAGATACAGGAATTTAAGTACCTAGGATCAACAGTTGAGAGCAGCGGAGATTGTGGAAGAGAAGTGAAGAATAGAGTGCAGGCAGGATGGAACAGCTGGAGAAAAGTGTCAGGAGTGATTTGTGATAGAAGGGTGTCAGCTAAGGTAAAGGGAAAAGTTTACAGAACAGTTGTGAGACCGGCCATGATGTACGGTCTCGAAACACTAGCAATTGGCAAAAGACAGGAGGCAGAGTTAGAGGTGGCTGAGTTAAAGATGCTGAGATTCTCCTTAGGAGTGACAAGGATGGACAGGATCAGAAATGAGGTCATCAGAGGGACAACTCAGACAGGAAAGTTTGGAGAAAAAGTGAGAGAGGCCAGACTGAGATGGTTTGGACATGTACAGAGGAGGGACAGGGGATACATTGGTAGGAAAATGTTAGAGATGGAGCTACCAGGTAGGAGACAGAGAGGAAGGCCAAAGAGGAGATTCATGGATGCCGTGAGGGAAGACATGCAGGTAGTTGGAGTCAGAGTAGAGGATGCAGAGAACAGGGAAAGATGGAAATTAATGACTCGCTGTGGCAACCCCTGAAAAGGGACAAGCCGAAAGGAGAAGAAGAAGAATGCTTGAATCATACACTAAATGGCATCAGATGATTCAGCATGATGAGTTTGTACTTTTACTGATAAAGACTTCTTGGATGTTAATAGATGAAAGGTATTCGCTCAAAAATGTTCTTATTAACCTTAGGTGTGAGAATCCTAACAATCATGACAAATGTGTGTGGAGGGGCAAAAGCCTTAACAGATATACCGTATTGGCCCGAATATAAGACGGCCCTGATTATAAGACGACCCCCTCTTTTTCAAGACTCAAGTTTGAAAAAAGACTTTTTGAACACCAAATTAATTTTTCTACAGAAAATAATTACAGTACATCTGAAACAAATGATTATAACAATATATTTTCGAGAAAAAGCATGTTATTTTGCCTCATTCAAATCTAAAGTGCAATCACATTCGTAAATGAATGGCTTCTGGTTTTTGAAATTTAAATGACATTATAACTTCTCCTCAGCTGCCGGTTAACCTGGCCTATCTTCGACCCACTTTTCTCCAGATTGTCGCTACGTTTCTCCATTTTCTGTTATCTCTTCTATTATTTTCTTCTCTTTTCCTTCTCACCACTATTTTTTATTTTTCTTCTTCGTGCTACCGCTATTTTTATTTTTATTCTTCGTGGCAGGGGTTCACTTTTGCCTCGGGTGTCACG